CGCCCTACCTACCTACCTACCTACCTGCCCGGCCGGCCGGGCTGCCGGCTCCGGGGAAGCAGCGGCAGCGAGGCCTCTCCTCCCCGCCCGGCCGCCCCCCTCCCCACCCGGCAACAGCGTTAGCAGAGCGTCTCCTGCGCACGCGCAGGAGACGCTCTTGCACTTTCGGGGGGATTTAAACATCCCCCCGATTTTTTTTTTAACTTTTTTTATTTTTGTGCACACGTGGGAATTGGCCCACGTGTGCACAAACCTCCCCCGGCCCCCCAGCTGCCCCCTCCGTGCTGATTTAAGTATCCGCACGGAGGGGGCAACTTGGCTATTAGTATAAGGATGGGACATAAGCGTGTGCACTAATTGACAGAAAGTAAATGAAATGAATTAATGATGTTACGGAATATACGTATGGCGAGATATATATTGTTTGAATACAATATTTCGAAGATTGTTAAGAAGTGCAAAACTTGTTAAAAAACCAAATAAATAGAGTTGGGGGGGGAAATATGTGTGAGCCGGAGGCTAAAAAACCGTGAGCTAGCTCACACTCACTCAGCTTAGAGGGAACACTGGTTGTAATCCTGGGAGATCCCCAGGCCTTACCTGGAGGTTGGCACCCCTGATTGTTGTCCACCGTAGGAAACTGTATCCTGGACGGGATGGATCTTTGGTCTGTCTGAGCTGAGTTTAAGCACGGGATGCCGGGGAGGTCTTCCCCCACAATAAGTCTCCGTTTTATTCGCACCCACACCTCTTGATTCGTTTCTCCTTGGCAGGATGAGAAGAACCAAGTCCTGACCACCAACGTCTGGCTCCAGATGGTAAGGGGTCAGGATCTGGGGGTGGGCAAACTGCGGGTGGGTGGGAGGCATCTGTACCACTGTTTTGATTTTAAGTGCCCTTTATAAAGTTTATCTCTCCGCTACCGGGCATTACATTTTATGACACACGTGGCCCGGCCCGACAAGGTCTCATTTATGTCAGATCCGGCCCTCGTAACAAATGAGTTCGACACCCCTGCATTAATCCCTCTGGGAATTCATTCTGCATCAGTTGCTTGGTGGTGGGGAGGCCCTGAAGCTGCCCCAAGCCCCATCAATTCCTAGACTTGCCAACCTCCAGGCAGCTCCTGGAGATCTGGAATCACCGCTGGTCTCCAGACGGCCAAGGTCAGTTCCCCCACAAAACAAGGGGAAAATACAGTTTGCCAGCTATCAAAAAGAAACGAACGCTGCAAATGCAATTAACAAGTCTAATATCAGTGCCTTTACATAAGTATTTTGATACGCTGCACTGAGAGCCGGGAGGCTGCTGTTTTGAAAGAGATTTCCTAGAACGTTGGTTCCGACTTGAATTTTGATCTCCACAAGGGAAGGGAGATGCAGCTTTGAAAAAGATAATTGAAACATGTTTACGTGCCTAGGATACGCGTCGCTGCATAACTTCCAATTGCTCATCTGTTATATAAATTTGCCATATTGAGAACTTCGGAACTAGGAGTGTTCCACTGTAACCTTGATTTATAGCTCACGATTGTGGCATTTTGAGAGTTTGGGAACTTTATGTGTTACATTGTAACTCTAGCTTGGAGCTTTTGAAGAAGAAGAAGAGGAGGAGGAGGAGACTGGATTTATACCCCGCCCTTCACTACTCAAAGAAGTCTCAGAACGGCTGACAAACTCCTTTCCCTTCCCCTCCCCACAACAGACACCTTGTGAGCAATGTTCCCTCTAAGCTGTGAAGTCTTGTGAGCAAAAAGTCTACTTTGTGAGCTACTGGGCATTAAAGTTGTGAGTGAGCAATTCGGCTGCTGCATAAACTAGCTTGCTCTGGAGCCCTCCTTCCTGAGCGAAGACATAAATGTGTGAGCTGGAGGCTAAAAAACTGTGAGCTAGGTTACACTAACTCAGCTTAGAGGGAACACTGCCTGTAAGGAAGGTGGGGCTGAGAGAGCTCTTTCGAGAACTGCCCTTGAGAGAACAGCACTGAGAGAACTTGTGACTGACCCAAGGTCACACCAGCAGCTGCATGCGGAGGAGTGGGGAATCAAACCCGGTTCTCCCAGATTAGAGTCCGCCGCTCTTATCCACCACATCAAACTGGTTTTGTATTAAATACTTTTGGAGTTGGCATGAGAAAACCCCGAGAACTGAATATTTATTAAGAATATACACTCGTTTGGTATTTCAGAATATTTATTTAAAGGCATCGGTATTACTCGTTGATCGCATTCGCAGTGTTCATTTGGTTTTGACCCCTGGGTAAAATGGCTGCTTAGGAGGGTGGCATTATACTCTGCTGAGGTCCCACCCTCTCCCAAATCCCCACCCTCCCCAGACTCCGCCCCCAAATCTCCAGGAATTTCCCAACCCGGAGCTGGCAACCCCATCACCCCCCCTTTTCCCCTCCCCTTTCAGTACTGGTACGATCACTACCTGCGGTGGAACGAGTCGGAATACCCTGGTGTGAAGACCCTCCGCTTCTCTGCCGACCGGATATGGAAACCTGATATCCTACTGTACAACAGGTGAGAATTCGCTTCTTTCTGGGACGTGCTGAACCTTTTCCAGACTTTCTTGGGACGGGAGAGCGGGAGAGAGGCGGCCTGCGGGCAATTGGGGTTGGATGCGAAGAACTCTGGGACGGGGCCTGAGGACTAGGACTGTGAGACAGTCTGGGAGCTGGTCTGGAACACCGGATAGTTCTCAGCTGCAGCTTTCGGTGCAGTGGGTCTCCACCCTTTAGTAGTCCTTCCTGGCACAGATGAACCTGAGAGCCAGTTTGGTGTAGGGGTTAAGAGCGCGGACTCCAATCTGGGAGAACCGGGCTTGAGTCCCCGCTCCTCCACGTGCAGCTGCTGGGGTGGCCTTGGGTCAGCCACAAGTTCTCTCAGAGCTGTTCTCTCAAGAGCAGTCCTCGAAAGAGCTCTCTCAGCCCCACCTCCCTCACAGGGTCATCTAACAGCTGCAAGGGGAGGAGTGGGGAATCAAACACGGTTCTTCCAGGCTGGAGTCCGCGCACTTAACCACTACACCAAACAGCTCCCTCTAAGCTGTGGAGTCCTGTGAGCAAAAATCCTACTTTGTGAGCTACTGGCATTAAAGTTGTGAGCGAGCGATTTGGCTGCTGGATAAATCAGTTTGCTCTGGAGCCCTCCTTCCTGAGCGGAGACAACATTGCGTGAGCCGGAGGCTAAAAAACCTGTGAACTAGCTCACACTGACCCAGCTTAGAGGGAACACTGCTCCCAGGGTGTCTCTTGGGAGGGGAAGGGAAAGGAGATTGTAAGCCGCTCTGAGACTCCCTTGGGTAGTGAAGGGCGGGGTAGAAATCCAGTCTCCTCCTCCTCCTCCTCTTCTAAATGGGCCTTTCTCCAGCTCAGAGACTCCTCTGACTTGGCCTGCTGGGGGTAACTTCCTGAGGAGCTGGGGGTGTGGACTTACTGGGGGGGGGGGACCAGAGAAACCCGGTGTGCTGCGGAACTGTGGCCTGTTTCTCTATGACCCGAGGATGGTCTTCCAGAGCCCCTTCTTATCCCCCTGTTGGCTCAAGGGGTAGCGAATGTGTTTTGTCCTCCAACGTTATGATAGGGCCTAGTTTTACGTGAAGAGAAGACCTGGGAGAATCAAGAATCCTGAGTACGGGAGGGGGGGGGGAGGAGATTCTCATCCTGGGTCATGAGAGAAGCCATGTTGGATCAGGCCAACGGCCCATCCAGTCCAACACTCTGGGTCACACAGTGGCCAGAAATACCAGGTGCCACCAGGAGGTCCACCAGTGGGGCTAGAACTCCAGAAGCCCTCCCACTGTGGCCCCCCAAGCACCAAGAAGACAGAGCATCACTGCCTCAGACATAAGAACGTAAGAGAAGCCATGTTGGGTCAGGCCAATGGCCCATCCAGTCCAACACTCTGTGCCACACAGTGGCCCAAAGCCCAGGGGCCATCAGGAGGTCCACCGGTGGGGCCAGAACTTCAGAAGCCCTCCCACTCTTGCCCCCCCAAGCACCAAGAAGACAGAGCATCACTGCCTCAGACATAAGAACGTAAGAGAAGCCATGTTGGGTCAGGCCAATGGCCCATCCAGTCCAACACTCTGTGCCACACAGTGGCCCAAAGCCCAGGGGCCATCAGGAGGTCCACCGGTGGGGCCAGAACTTCAGAAGCCCTCCCACTCTTGCCCCCCCAAGCACCAAGAAGACAGAGCATCACTGCCTCAGACATAAGAACGTAAGAGAAGCCGTGTTGGGTCAGGCCAATGGCCCATCCAGTCCAATACTCTGTGCCACACAGTGGCCCAAAGCCCAGGGGCCATCAGGAGGTCCATTGGTGGGGCCAGAACTTCAGAAGCCCTCCCACTCTTGCCCCCCCAAGCACCAAGAAGACAGAGCGTCACTGCCCCAGACATAAGAACATGAGAGAAGCCGTGTTGGTTCAGGCCAATGGCCCATCCAGTCCAACACTCTGTGTCACACAGTGGCCAAAACCCAGGAGTCACCAGGAGGTCCAGCAGCGGGGCCAGGACTCCAGAAGCCCCCTCCCACTCTTGCCCCCCCAAGCACCAAGAAGACAGAGTGTCACCTCCCCAGACATAAGAACGTGAGAGAAGCCATGCTGGATCAGCCCAGCTGTTTTTGGGCTTTGCTGACCATGCTTTCTTAGAATACCAAAGGTGCCCACAGGCTCAAAAAGCTCGGGGAACCCGTTGTCGAGTATTCCGGCATTCGCTGCGGTTTCTGTCACTTGAGATTTTGGGCCGAAAGAAATCCGACTCTAGCTGACGTGTGCATTGGTTCCTTCTCTCCCCACAGTGCCAACGAAAAATTTGACTCCACTTTCCACACCAACATCCTGGTCAACTCCAGCGGCTACTGCCAGTGGCTGCCCCCAGGTGAGGCCCAAACGGATCGGCCGGATTATTACTAATAAATTGCACATCATAGAAAATTTTGAAATACCAGAAAAATTTTGCTGTTGCTACCTTATGTGATGTGCAGTTTTTCTATCCCTTTTGACAATTCCAGAAAGCAACACCTGGCTTTAAAGAAAATCTTTGTTCATAGATTTATTCCTGGGTGTGTGTGTTGTTTTACAATAGTAATACTGACCACTGAAAAAGGCCCTAAGGGGCCAAAACGCATATGGTCTACTGGTCATAAGCCATGCTCCCTCTAAGCTGTGGAGTCTTGTGAGCAAAAATTCTACTTTGTGAGCTGCCGGCATTAAAGTTGTGGGTGAGCGATTTGGCTGCTGCGTGAATTCGTTTTCTCTGGATCCCTCCTTCCGGAGCGAAGACAAAAATGTGTGAGCTGGAAGCTTAAAAACTGAGCTGGCTCATACTAACTCAGCTTAGAGGGAACACTGGTCATAAGATATACCCATCAATTGTATATGTAAAACTTTCAGCTGTTTGTAAAAAGCTTCAAGAGTCTGACATCTGGATCACTTCTTGTAACCTATTTTATCTTTGACAAATATGTACATCATAATAAGTGTGTGTATTTTTATAATAACTTATAAATGCTAGTCCAGCATTTTGGTGTAGTGGTTAAATGCGCAGACTCTAATCTGGGAGAACCGGGTTTGATTCCCCACTCCTCCACTTGCACCTGGATGGATGACCTTGGGCAAGCTGTAGTTCTCTCAGTGCTGTCCTTGAAAAAGAGCAGTTTCTGTCAGAGCTCTCTCAGCCCCGCCTGCCTCACAGGGTGTCTGTTGTGGGGAGGGGAAGGGAAAGGAGTTTGTAGGCCGCTCTGAGACTCCCTTGGGTAGTGAAGGGTGGTGTATAAATCCAATCTCCTCCTCCTCCTCCTCCTCCTCCTCCTCCTCCTCTTCTTCTTCTTCTTTTCCTCCTCCTCCTCCTCTTCTTCCTCTTCTTCTTTTCTTATCCTTCGGGTAGTGAAGGGCAGGGTATAAATCCA